TGAGTATCAGTCACATGGAGGCTGGGCTTAAAAGCCTGAATTTTGCCTGAAACTCTCAGACTCCATGAAGGGAATGGCTTCAAACCCAATGTCTGAAAGTAAACCCTCTCCATTATATGTAACATTAAAAAAAATACTCCAAGTTTATACATACACTCATCACTATTCATAATATTACAACTGCAAAATAAATAAATCAGAAAGACAAGCACTGTTTAATACTAAAAGTGTTTATACAGTTGCAGACAGGGCATTTAAGCATATCTAAAGACAAATAAAATTTACAATAAATTATTTTAAGTTAGCTTTATTGTGTTCCGTAACACATCAATTCTTTTTTTCAAGGTGCAGGATTATTATAATAGAAGAGGATTAGGGCAACTGAAAAAATATTTTTTTAAAGAATTCTGACTTTAATCTCAGAATTCTCACAATCCTGAGGTTAAAGCCAGAATACTTTTTCCCCCCAGTAGCCCTACTCCTCTTCAGTATAGTTTAAAAAATGTAAGAAACATGTTTTCTTTAAATAGAGCACTTTATAAAGAAATAAGWCATTCTCTAAAAAAAATAAGACATAAAATATAAGCCATTGGCTCTAAAGGGTGTTATATGGATTATACAATAAAACGAGACACAACATTATACTAAACTCTAACATTAATTTATACTATTTTGTTTCCCTAAAAGATGACTGCTTTAAAAATAAATAAAAATAACGAAAAACAGAATGAAATTTTCAAAAATAAAGTTTCATCAGGACACTTTCAAAACTTTATTTTGAAAATAAAAATCACAACCGGAAAAGGTTTTACCTCATTTCCTCCTGCATATTTTTTCTAGAACCTGTGAATTGCACGGTGAATTGAGTCGGAAATAAGACTGATTTTCACCCTCAGTTTAGTATCTTTTGAAAGCCGAGCGGGTGAAGTGAGTACAGATATGGTAAGTGTGTTTAGTTTAAAGTTTTTAAAGGTAAGAATTATTAGTATTTTATTTATTAACCGAAGTCACTCTGTGGCGGCTAAGCTAACAAGCTAGCTGCGAGGGACCTATCGTTTACCCTAGTTACTGTTTTCTACTGGTGTAGTGTTCATTTAGTTTTTCACTTAGCGTCTCATAAATCATCTTTATCTCCCAATCAYTTATCTTGAATATGAACTTTAGGCAGAATCTTACAAATTAATTCCGTTAGTTTAAACATTTTGTTCGTTGAAATGTAATTTTTCTCCCGTCTGAAATGACTGAACAATCTGCAACGTGCTTCCTTCTGTAAGAATATGTAAAAAAAAAACACATCCTTATTGACTCACAATTTACTGTGAAGCAGAGAAAATTGCACCCATCCTTACTGAAAATATTTGTATTTTACAGTCGCACACAATTTTGCTTGTTCAACCAACCAAGAGACCAGAGGGCCGCACTTACGCCGACTACGAGTCAGTGAATGAATGCATGGAAGGTAAAGTATTTTTTAAAAATAAATTCAACAATGATTTTTGTCATTATTGTTGTATAGGGCTGCCACAAACGATTATTTTAATAATCGATTGACCACCGATTATTTATTCGATTAGTCGACTAATCGGATCATACGTTAATTGAATATAAAACATACAGCTTATCGTGCCAGAATGCAGCTGCTATTATATAACCAT